TGACCTCGCAGGCTCAAGCATTTCTCCCACCTCAGCCTCCCAAGTAGCTGGGACTACAGGCGTGCACCACTGTGCCCAGCTAATTTTTTGTATTTTTAGTAGAGACGGGGTTTCACCATGTTGACCAGGATGGTCTCGATCTCTTGACCTCGTGATCCACCCGCCCTCAGCCTCCCAAAGTGCTGGGATTATAGGCGTGAGCCACCGCACCCGGCCAATTTTTGTATTTTTTATAGAGACGAGGTTTTGCCATATTGCCCGGGCTGGTCTCCAACTGCACGGCTCAAGCGATCCTCCCACCTCAGTCTCCTGAAGTGCTGGGGTTACAGGAGTGAGCCACTGTGCCTAGTCTCGGGAGAGTCTTAAGGGGACCCTATGTAGACCCTCCGAGCTTTTTTGCTGAGCAGCTGCCTCTTTGCAATTTTGCTTTCAAATTCTAGCTGCCTTGGGATCCCTAATCTCTGAAGTCACCTCAAATCAGCTTAACCACTTGGTACTATTTGCCACTTGGATTCCCATGCACCGTACTGCCGCCCTTTCTAGTCAGTGAGTTGGGAAAATCATAGAACTTTGTTTCTCTGGAAGGAAAGGTTCTTTTTATATTGATATATTAGCTTTATAACTGAAGAATACTTGGAAAATATTACAAAGGAATGTTAGCTTTGTCAGCTATCCTTGTTAGTAAGATTAACTGTTACCTTCATGCAGTACACACAGCATTCTACCTTGATGTTTCCTCAGTGAGGGGTAAAGAGATTTTGGAGATCTCTTCTGATGGTGACAAAACTATTTCTGGTAACCCATGTGTTTCTCTGTTATGGGAGAAAAATGCTCAGTTTATTGCTTTTTTTTTCTTTTTAAAAATTACCTCCTCCTTTCCCCCTCATTCTTGCTGTCATCTTTTTTTTTTTTTTAAAGAAACAAGTTCTGGCTCTGTCACCTAGACTGGAGTGCAATAGCACAGCCATAGCTTACTACAACCTTAAACTCCTGAACTCAAGGGATCCTCCTGCCTCAGCCTCCCAAGTATCTAGGACTACAGGCATGTACCACCATGACTGGCTAATTTTTAAAAATTATTTTTCATAGAGATGGGGTCTCACTGTGTTGCCCAGACTGGTCTCAAACTCCTAGTCTCAAGTGATCCTCCCACCTCAGCTTTCTAAAGGGCTGAGATTACAGGTGTGAGACACTGTGCCAAGCCCTCTCTTTCTTGATAAATATGAATCCTAATCTTTTGTCCAATTGTTAATTTTTCTGCTGTCACTTGAGATAGCTTCAATAATGAAAGGCTCTTGAGACCTAAATAGACTGGCTGGAAAAGTTCACCCCTAGACGGTGACTACCAGACAGTCTGTAGTACCTGTCCCACTGGAGTCTGACTTAGTTGTAGCTACTCTCTTCTCTTTACCTTTGGATGTTCATCCAAAACTGGATCTTCCAGGAGGCCAAGAGAGTCTGCTTGGTCCTGATTTTGTTTCTCTGTTATAGGATAACCTTTCTACAGTTTCCTAGTTCTCTTTGTAACTACCTTAGTTTGCTTTTTCCCTAGTATCCCTTGAAGATATTGTCTATGTTTTGCTTTGTTTTGTTTTTATCAACAGGAGAGGAAGGCAAGCCTGAGATTAATCAGCAGTTAAGCCTAGAGTCTATGGAACTTGATGAGCTTGCCCTAGAAAAGTACCCCATTGCTGCACCCCTTGTCCCTTACCCAGAAAAATCCTCTGAGGATGGAGTTGGACACCCTGAAGGGAGACTATTAAGTGGAACTCCCACATTCAAGAGAAGGGTCATAAGCCTGTTAGTTACCATTGAAAACCACACGCCATTAGTAGAACTCTCTGAGTGTTTAGGACCCAACACACTTTCTGAAATTCTTGATTTTCCCTGGGAAGAAGCCAAAAATGTGTACAAATGTCCCGAATGTGATCAAAACTTCAGCGATCATTCATACCTGGTTTTGCATCAGAAAATTCATTCTGGGGGGAAAAAACACAAATGTGGTGACTGTGGGAAGATCTTCAATCATAGAGCCAACCTGAGGACACACAAGAGAATCCACACGGGTGAGAAACCTTATAAGTGTGCCAAGTGCAGTGCCAGCTTTCGCCAGCACTCGCATCTGTCCCGACACATGAATAGCCACGTAAAGGAGAAGCCCTATACATGCAGCGTATGTGGTAGAAGTTTTATGTGGCTCCCCGGATTGGCGCAGCATCAGAAAAGCCACATTGATGAAAAAGCCTACGAATCTACTAACTGTGATAAATACTTGGATGAGAAACCAAATCTTGCTTTGCATGAGGAAACGTTAATATCAGTACCCCAGTATCAGCACACAGAGTGCATGAGGAGCTTCAGGCAGTCTTCACATCCTGCCCTTTCTGAGGAGAGCCACGCAGAGGACTCTGAACGCTGCAGCAGTGATGGGGACAATTTCTTCTCATTCTCAAAATTCAAGCCCTTACAATGTCCTGACTGTGACATGACCTTTCCTTGCTTCTCTGAGCTTATTTCCCATCAGAACGTTCATACAGAGGAAAGGTCCCATAAGTGCAAAACATGTGAGAAGAGTTTTGCTTTGGACACAGAACTTGCATGCCACCAGAATAGCCACACGCTGGAGGAACCTTTTAAATGTACTGTGTGTGGGAAGAGTTTCAGGTCGAATTTGCATCTCATTACTCATAAGCGAACCCATATGAAAAACACCATATAAATAGAACAACTTGTTAGTGATTGGGCTTTTCAGTATCTGTATGGTGGAAAGCAGTTACTGTGTAGTCCCAGACAGTGTGCTAAGCACTTTACACACATTCCCATGGAATACTTAATTCTCATCCCAACCTTGATTTAGGTAGTACCATTTCCACTTCATAACTAGGGAAACAAAATCCATGTCTTAAAGCTAGTGAACGAACCCAGGATTTGAACTCAGTTACTGTTCAACTATGAGCCGGAAAAAGATACAAAACTTTTGTTTAAATTCAATTTTTATTAAAATGAAGGCTTTTGCTAGAGTTCTTTTGTTTACACAGTTTCTAACTTTTAGAAGGAAGAGAATTTATTTATATTTTGCCAGTCCTGCAGATAGAATATTTAGGAAAGTAAATGCTTTTATATGTTTTATACTTTTTTTTTGCTATAACTATTTGAATGTAATGTTTGTATAAGATTGCTGTTTTACATGTGAATTCCCGTAGGAATTTAGAAGTCTTTTTCTGTCCTGTAAAAGTTCCTAAATGGGTAGACTAGTTTATATCTTGATGGCCATTAGTAGCCACAGAGTTCCCTATCATAGTTCTGATGCCAGGGACAGGTACTGGCATTTAGGACCCAAATGTTTGCAAGGAGTTTTGGTGCAGTCTAACTATAGCCCTTTTGTGGAGGTTGGACTTGGGGAGGGGAGGAGTACTTGCTCCTTTCTAAGATTACCTCTAAATCACAACCTAAGCACATTACCTGTCTTGCTATGAATAATTGTAATTGTTTCTCAGTGAGTATGGTAGCTACTTTAGGGATATTATCTAATTTAATCTTCAGAATAAATTTGTGACTGAGAAAAACAATTTTGTTTCATAAACGAAACTGAAGTCTTCAGAGGGTAAAGTGAATACTTTGCCTAGCACACAAATCGCATTGTGGTGAAGCTGACATTAAGCTTGGGTCTCTCTGACGACAAAGGCCATGCAGTCCACGAGACTACATCATTTATTGGCATTTGCACCACATAGTAGCACTGCAGGCAGCCAGGGAGAGGGGCCCTGAGATAGGTAGCTGAGGATGGTCATCCTGGAGGTGATTCTGTGTGTTTGCATCCTGGAACCCTCATTCTCTTTGTGGTGTACCCTGACTTACATATACAGTTAGAGAGCAGCAGAAGACTCTCCAGGACTTTTGAGTTTGAACTCTTGTCCCTGTAATCAGACAGGAGATTTCACACTTTGCAGAGTACAGTTCTGAAAGTCTTAATTGGGGGTTTGTGTTTTGTTTTTTGTTTTTTTTTTAAAAAAAAACCTATAACATTTCCTCTCCATCTCCAAAGAAAATGCATTATAAAAAATTGTTAGATTTTAACCAAAATACTTTTGACAATATATATTTAGATACTGCTATTATAGATAAATATTGGAGCAAAATACTGTTAAACAGTATGGTTACTAATGTTAAAGAACCACAGAATGTTGTAAATACACATTTATATAGAATTTCTCATTAAAGTTGATTGTATGCTTATCAGCAAAACAGTATTTACATGGGATTTGATTAGGATGGAAGAATGCTTTCATTCTATTTAAATAGACAGTATAAAACTACAATATTTGCTAAAATTGAATTGTTGCTGGAAATGAGAAAAGATAAAGGACTCTTGAAGACTAATTGTATGGAAGGTAGCAGAAGGTGGTCCTACAGAACAGCAGATTGAAGACTCAGTATACAAAATGATGCTGGGTACTCAGCTAAGCTCTTACTACTGAGTAGAGGCAGGAAGATACTGTGCAGCTGAGGGAAAACTGAAACCAACATCCCTAACCCAGAGAGAGTTTCTCTCTCTCTTTGTCATTCTTGTCTTGTTTCTTGTTTGCAGATCCACGGTTGAGACTATGTGCTGCTCTGTATGTCAAGATCAGACTTGGCTCTTTGTTTCTGATGTCTCCACTCTTAGGAGATAGGACACCAGCTTTCAGGTTTCTCTGAAATGCTTTGAAATGTGTAGAAATAGTCTCAAGTTAGGTTTCTTATTAGCCAATTCTGAGATGTCTTGATCTTTGTTAAGTAACAAGAACACCGCCTCTGGCTTTTGCCCTCAGTGGGAGAAACTGGCAGGTGCCTCAGCACTTATCCAGGACTAATATTTCAGTGATGTAATGAAGAGTGACAGGATGGGGATGAAATTGGGAAAGAGGTCTGGATTAGCAGAGTTACTGCAGAAAGAAGTAGAGGGGAATAGCTTGGAAGACACTTGGACAGAGTTGGGCTGATATGAAAGATGGGTGCTGTCATTTTTTTTTTTTTTTGCTCCTAGAAAATATAGCAGAAAGTGAGAATTTGTCCTGTTCTTCACCTTATTATGGAAGTTTGCCTTTCCATATGAGTCTTTCTTCACAATTAACCTCTCATTTTTTGGAGTTTTATTTATTCTCCACATTTTGGAAGATTATGACAAACTTCCCTAAAAATTAGAAGAAAACACCACTTCTCAGAAACATTAACACACATGTGGATATAACTAAAATGGCTTTTGGTCTAATACTATTAATGATTGGCATACAGAAAAAAATGAAAAAAAAATCCCTTAGGTGTCAGTTACTGTGAAATAGGTGTATTTTCAGTTGTTTGCTTATTGTGCACTTGCACTTAAATACATTTGCTGGATGTAATTCAAGCTGGTTTGTCCCCAGGGAATTGAAGGAAAAGATGTTATCTGCTGGTGAGATTCAGGCTTTTTATGGTGACGGCATTTTCTGCCTTCTGTTTATAGTGTCAACTGATGGAGATAAATTCCATAAAATTGTCATTAACTCAGAAATATTAGCCTACCATGTTAGGTGCTATTCACAAATACTAGATAAAAGTTAATCTAGGAATGAAAAATTAAATGCAAGAGTTTATTGCTATAATGATGGGTTAACTGCATTTTGCAGCATGGAATTCAACACACTATGAGAGTGAAAACTTTGTGCTGAAGAAATTGATTCAGACAAATTTCTTGGCTTTTGTTGTTGATGCAGTGATGAAAATGTGTATCTAACAGTTCCTTAATATGATTGCTGGAGTATTACATTCTGTTAAACAGTTATTACAGCATTTTTCCAATGGAATTCAGATGTCAGCAGTTTACATTTTGTAAATTAAGAAATTTTGGAATGTAGTTGTTTTTGAATGAGGTGGACTCAAAATAGTGTTATTTAGAGCTTTGTTGCTACAGGTGGCAGTCTATTGACTTCTCCTCATTTAACAGAAAATGACTAACCCAATAATTCAGGGAGCTAAAGCTCAGTAAATGCCCTTTTGAATCTTTGCCTCCTGAGTTTCCATATAATTAAGTGGCAGTGTTCAAGTGACTGCAGCATAAGACGTCATACAATCTGAAACTGCAGAGTTTGATCAAAGTAATCTGCAATTTATTGCCTTTGTGTACAACAGGAGACAGCAGGTTACAGTTTATGTGAATAGTCTATTTTGAGTGTTCATAAAACTTGTTATCCCTGTGGGATTTCAGTAGGAAAGTGTTTTTGCTTTGACCATCTGTTTAACAAATTATCTTCATTAGAAGTGTATATATTCATGTTTTTGTTTTGTTGTTTAGGAGGGCTATTGATGTGATTCAAAGATGACCATTACCCATCTTTCCAAGGCCCATCTAAGTAGTAAAGGTGTTTTGTTTTTTATTTTGAAATTGACATTTCTCTTTGCATTAAGCCTGTGGGGGAGGAGAGAATACAATATAAATATTCATCTATGTAAACATGAGAATATGCTGTAATCTCTAGTTCCTTTGGATACCTCAGAAGTTTGTTTATTGTATACGTTTATACCGTTTGTTTAATGTTTTGGTTTTACTGTTTTTGACGTATGCTCATCAGTCTTAGCTCTATATTGTAAGCTCTCAAGTTATTGATCATGTCTATCTAATGTGCAATTTGGCATCTAATAAATGCTATTTTATGATGATGGCAATGAATTTTTTAAGTGGTTTTAGATGGCAGTAAGGTGAATTTTGAAGACTGTTAGGATTGTGGTTTAGAGAGAGTGAGTGACTTCGTGCTGTTTAATAAAGAAAGCAAAATCGCTCCCTCGGTGGAATTAAGCAGAAAATTCCGGCGTCATTTCGGGAAGCTAGTGCTGGACTTAAATTTCCTTTCGTCTTCACTGTACACAGGAGTACAGGAGCAAGGACCTATGTCTTCACAGGGCAGCTACTGCCTGGTGCGGGTTGCCACTTAAAGCTGGGAGTCCGAGAAGCGGATGTGGTGAGCAGGACTCCCAGAAGGCCTTGCGTGGCCTCAAGGAGATACCAGGTCTCCAGTTTAGCCACCAACCGCATGGGTCAGCGGAAGTGCCAATGAGATGACATGCGCTACAGCGGGCCACGGATGCGGAACCGGAAGTCACAATCCACTTCCGGTGCATGTTTCCGGCAGCGCCTGCGCATTCCTGGAGCAAGTGGGATGTGGTGAATGGTGGAGATCCAGCGGTGGGGTTTGGCGGTGTGCCTGGCCATGTCCATTGCATATCGCTAGGTGATCTCCATATAAATCTAGTGGTATGGGTAACAGCGTTTGCCGAGGAACTCCTCAGGTCCCTGTCTCCGCATCATTAGGAGAGTAACACAGGTGTGACTGTCAGACACCAACACGAATCTCCCATCTGTGATTCTAGGCGTTAGGACGGGAGAAGAAGCTCTGCGCCACCTTCCCAGCCCTGATCCCACTTAAGCAATATGGAGCTGTGGACCTGTCTAGCGTATGTGTCTCTGGCTTGTTGAAGTGGATACTTTGTACTTCTCACTTGTGCTGGGTAGAGTATCTTTTCTTTACAATCAATACCAGTCTCAGGCTTTTGGCATGGTCTGCAGCCAAATTCTAACCTGCTTCTGGTTAGCTGGAATGTACCCTTGGCTTACTTTCGGTAAATGGTATCTCCTTGGGTGCACTTAGCCACTCATGGCTACAAAGACCTCACTTTAGGTCTAGCTTCAATTTCTCTTCTATGTGCTCCAGATTCCTATATTCAAGTGCCTACAGAAGATCGTCCTTTGGATGTCTCTCAGGCATCAAAACACATGCCCTTAACTCATGCTTTTAGCCCCTGACCTGTTTGCCTACAGTATGTGGGGCCACATCCATACAATAGCTCATACTATCAACAAACACCCCTTCTTTCCTCTTACTACAGCTTGAATATTTGTGTACCCTAAAAATTCATGTGTTGGAATTCTAACACTTAAATTGATGTTATTGGGAGGCGGGGCCTTTGGCAGAGCCCTCATGATTGGGTTTAGTGTTCTCATAAAAGACTGCAGGCCTGGTGTGGTGGCTTACGTTTGTAATCCTGGTGCTTTGGGAGGCCAAGATGGAAGGATTGCTTGAAACCAGGAATTCAAGACCAGCCTGGGAAACGTTGTAACACCCCATCTTTACAAAATAATTTATTTAGCCCGGTGTAGTGGCTGTCACTTGTTGCTTGTAGTCCTAGCTACTTGGGAGGCTGAAGCAGGAGGATTGCTGGAGCCCAGAAAGTCAAGACTGAGCCTGTGAGGACCCAGCAAGAAAGTGCCATCGTTGAAATGGCCTTCACCAGACTGACGACCTTTATCTTGGGCTTCCTAGCCTCTAGAACTGTGAAGAAAAAGTCTGTTTATAAGCTACCCAGTTTATGGTAGTTTTTTATAGCATCCAGAACAGGCTTAAGACATCACATCCATTCAATCATCAAGTCTCATGGATTCTACCTCAAAAGTATCACCAAAACCTGAATGTTTCTGTCCCTACTGTCCTCATCCTATCCAACAGTATTCACCTGGGTTACCTGAAATAGCATGCTGATGACTTTTATATCACTCTTGTTTCCTGTCAACATAGCTAACACAATCCCATTTAATAAAATAAGCATTATGGCCAGGCGCAGTGGCTCACACCTGTAATCCCAGCACTTTGGGCAGCCAAAGCAGGTGGATCACGAGATCAGGAGTTCAGCCTGGCCAAATAGTGAAACCCCATCTCTACTAAAAATACAAAAAATTAGCCGGGTGTGGTGGCAGGGGCCTGTAATCCCAGCTACTCAGGAGGCTGAGGCAGGAAATTGCTTGAACCTGGGAGGTGGAGGTTGCAGTGAGCCAAGATCGTGCCACTGCACTCCAGCATGGGCAACAGAGCAAGATGCCATCTCAGAGAAATAAAGGAAATATTATGAAATCACTTGCTCCCTGAAACTCAGCAGAAAATTCCAGCATAATTGCGGGAAGATGGCACTAGATGTTGATCTTTTCAGTCTTTGCTGCACAGTAGAAGTAGAGGGCCAGGTACCAGATAATTATGATTATCTCATCATCCAACTTGACATCTTTCATTGGCTTCCCGTTGTCCTTAGGGACATTGACATTTTCAACATGACCTTCCTAGTCATTACTTCCCTGCCACATCAACTTCAGCTGTTCTTTTTCTCTCACCACTCTCCAACTACACATTCTCTCAATTCACCGAACATACCAAGCTCTTCCAGAATTGTGCACATGCTTTTCCTTTGTCTTGGAACACCCCCCTCAATTCTACATCCTTTGTTTTATCCTCCTTACAGCAATTACTATGCTTTTAATTGAATAGTAATTATGTAACTAATAAAATTTCATTGTTTCTGTGGGGGCAGAGACCAGGAACATGATAGATGCTTAAAATTATGCACTGAATGAAACTAACATGGCTCTGTCACTTTTATAGTGTTGGTTTCAGCTTAAAGACTGACAGAGAAGAAAGGAGAATAGACGCTGGTGCCGTCAGTTACTAGTAGGCAGGAGATATAGTAATATACCAAAGAAGCTGTAAGCAGTTCAGAAAAAAACTAAGAAAGCTTAGTTTTTTAGGCTAGTCTCGAACTCCCGACCTCAGGCAGATCACCTGAGGTCGAGAGTTCGAGACTAGCCTGACCAACATGGAGAAACGCCATCTCTACTAAAAAGAAATTAGCCAGCTGTGGTGGCACATGCCTGTAATCCCAGCTACTCAGGAGTCTGAGTTAGAAGAATTGCTTGAACCCAGGAGGCAGAGATTGCAGTGAGCTGAGATCGTGCCATTGCACACCAGACTGGGCAACAAGAGTGAAACTGTCTCAAAAAAAAAAAAGGCTGGGTGCAGTGGCTTACGCCTATAATCCCAGCACTTTGGGAGGCCCAGGTGGGCTGAATACAAGGTCAAGAGATCAAGACCATCCTGGCCAATGTGGTGAAACCCCATCTCTACTAAATACACAAAAATTAGCTGGGCCTGGTGGCATGCACAGTGAGCCACCATGCCTGGTCAGAGGACATTTTAAACAGGTATGTGAGCACATTCAGTGGCTGTCCCTCCTCCAGGGTCAATGCAGAGCAAGCAGACAAAAAGACACCATTCTGGCTGGACACTGTGGCTCATGCCTGTAATCCCAGTGCTTTGAGAGGCTGAGGCAGAAGGATCACTTGAGGCCAGGAGTTTGAGAACAGCCTGGGAAACACACAAACACCCTGTCTCTACAAAAATTTTTCTTAAATATTAGCCAGGTGTCGTGACATGCGCCTGTAGTCCCAGCTACTCAGGTAGCTGAGGCAGGATGACCGCCTCTGCCCAAGATTCAAGGCTGCAGTGAGCTATGATGGAGCCACTGCCACTAGGTGGCAGAGTGAGAACCTTTCTCTAAAAAAAAGAAATAAAAAGAATTTTAAAAAAGCAGTTCCCAGTTTCTCCCTAAAAGGGATTTGTCTGTACATTTTCCCAACTGCATTAGGCTACTGAGTAGCCTGCATCTAGTAGCTGATAGGGCTGGTAAACAATAGACCTCTAGGAGCGTGAACAGGCATGTGGGAACTTCACTTGCATTCTCCCCTCTTCTGCTACTCCATTCAGAGATAAAACTAGGGGCCAGGCATTGTGGCTCATGCCTGTAATCCCAGCACTTTGGGAGGCTGAGGCAGGTGGATCACTTGAGGTCAGGAGTTCAAGACAAGCCTAGCCAACATGGTGAAATCCTGTCTCTACTAAAAAATACAAAAAATTACCCGGGCATGGTTCGGGGGTGCTTATAATCTCAGGTACTCGGAAGGCTGAGGCAGGAGAATTGCTTGAACTTGGGAGGCAGAGGTGGCAATGAGCTGAGATCGTGCCACTGCACTTCCACCTGGGTGACCAAGTGAGATTCTGTCTCAAAAATAAAACAACAACAACAACAACAAAAAACTAGGCTTCTAGCTTCTTCCTGGATGGAGTACCCCAAATTTTATAGCTTCCGCACAACAGACAACTCCTAAATCACCTGTCTCTGGGAATTAATGAGACTGTATTCACAAGTCTCCCTAGACTACAGAGAAGAAAAGGGTTTAAAAAGGGTGTTTGAAGGCCAGGCGCAGTGGCTCAAGCCTGTAATCCCAGCACTTTGGGAGGCCGAGGCGGGTGGATCACGAGGTCAACAGATTGAGACCATCCTGGTCAATATGGTGAAACCCTGTCTCTACTAAAAATTACAAAAAATTAGCTGGACACGGTGGCGCGTGCCTGTAACCCCAGCTACTCAGGAGGCTGAGGCAGGAGAATTGCCTGAACCCAGGGGGCGGAGGTTGCGGTGAGCCGAGATGGCGCCATTGCACTCCAGCCTGGGTAACAAGAGCGAAACTCCATCTCAAAAAAAAAAAGGGTGTTTGAGCACTTCTAGCATCTGTTTCCCCTAACTCAGTATAAAGTGAGCAGGCAAAAACACTCAGCTCCGAGTTTACCCCTGGAAGGAGTTTGACTGTACACCTAATATTTGAACTTTCCCAGCTGCTGTCCATGAGTCAGGCCTCTACCCTCTATCTGGGTACTGACAGGGCAGGCAATAAGTAGTCCTTTGAGAGCCTTAATGGCCATGCGGTCGCTTCCCAAATTCCTTTTGCAGGTTCACTCTAGAGACAGAGCCAAGCCTCTGAACAATCCACCCGATAACAGTTGGGAGCTGAAATTCACTAGGTCCCAGGTGGGTAACCGTGCAGTAGGCCGTGGGTTCAGAGTGTGTGTTCTGAATGACAATGCACAATGCAGGTCTTTGCTACAGATTATCTCCTCAGTTTAGTGCAGGGCAAGTGGGAGATCAACACCAGTTGCCAGCTTTTCCTTGAGGACAGAAGTAACTGGAACACATATAACACCCTGACTTTTCTACCTAAATTTCAGGAACTGGCCTCAATATCACCAGTCTTCGGGCATTGATGGCATTTGGTACACCCCAATCTCTTGGGGGTAGCAAGAATAAAGAGAGCAGTTTGTACAAGCACTGAAGTTTGAGAGGCACCTAGAACCTCTGGTTGGGTTGATAGGTGAGGTTCATCTCCTACAAAAAATCAGATATTAAGACTTAGAAAGGGGGCAGGGTAGGGTGGCTCACGCCTGTAATCCCAGCACTTTGGGAGGCCCAGGCTGGCGGATCACCTGAGGTCATGAGTTTGAGACCAGCCTGGGCAACATGGTGAAACTCCATCTCTACTAAAAATACAAAAATTAGCTGGATGTGGTGGCAGGCACCTGTAATCCTAGCTACTCAGGAGGCTGAGGCAGGAGAATCGCTTGAAACCAAGAGGCGGAGGTTACAGTGAGCTGTGATCTTGCACTCTAGCCTGGGTGACAGAGCAAGACCCTGTCTCAAAAAATAAAAAAAAAAAAAGACCTGGAAAGGGATTTGTCTTATCTAATGCATGAAAATCAACAGTCAATAAATAAATAAATAAATAAATAGAAAATATGTTCCAAACAAAAGAAAAAGGTAAATCTCCAGAAACCAATTCCAATGAAATGCAGGTAAAGGATTTTACCTATTAGAGAATTAAAGATAGGCCAGGTGCAGTGGCTAACAACTGTAATCCTAGCACTTTGGGAGGCTGAGTGGGTGGATCACCTGAGGTCAGGAGTTTGAGACTAGCCTGGCCAACATGGGAAACTTCGTCTCTACTAAAAATACAAAAATGAGCTGGGTGTGGTGGCGGCACCTGTAATTCCAGCTACTCGGGAGGCTGAGACAGGAGAATCACTTGAACCTGGAAGGTGGAGGTTGCAGTGAGCCGAGATCGTGCATTGCACTTCATCCTGGGCAACAGAGCAAAACCTCATCTAAAAAAAAGTAAGAACATTAAAAGTAATCATAAATGTGCTCACTGAGGTCAGAAGTGTGATGTGTGAACAAACGGAGACTCTCTTCTGTTGACAGAGTCTTGCTCTATTGCACAGTCTGCAGTGCAGTGGTGTGATCCCGGCTCACCGCAACCTCCGCCTCCCGGGTTCAAGTGATTCCCTTTCCTCAGCCTCCCGAGTAGCTGGGACTACAGACATGTACCACCATGCCTGGCTAATTTTTGTCTTTTTAGTTGAGGCGGGGTTTCACCGTGTTGGCCTGGATGGTCTCCATCTCTTGACCTCGTGATCCACCAGCCTCGGCCTCCCAAAGTGCTGGGATGACAGGCATGAGCCACCACGCCCGGCCAAACTGAGACTTTCAACAGACAGAAAATATAAAAACAGCACAAGCATGGTGGCTCACACCTGTCATCCCAGCACTTTGGGAGGCAAAGATGGGAGGATTGCTTGAGCGTAGGAGTTCAAGACCAGCCTGGGTTACATAGTGAGAC